TAGTCTGCTGGTAGTGATTTAATTTAAAAATGGATTGTTTCTTAATAATTTCCACCATATTTGTTTACAAAAATGTAAAATGATACCTCAATTACATTGATGATTGGATATTGTATGTATTAAGCACCATTTGTAGCAGCAAAAAGCTTTCAAATTGAACCTTCAGTAGCATAATAAACCTACTTTGTGTGGATTTGTTTATGGTGTTGTGTTTATTGGTGTTATCGCCAAACGCCTGTCTGGTTGTTTGTGTGAAGGCAGTTGACTTGCCCTCCCAGATTGGCCCTCAGCAGTGTTGTATGACGGAAGCCAGCCCATCTGTTATTGCAGGCAGAGGGCTGTAATCCTGCCTGTCTTAGCTCTAGGTCTATCTATAAACTATGATTTGTCAAATCATTAAAATTTCAAGAAGTGGGTTAAACCAGTGGACCCTGTCCAGGTTATGCTTATTATAATTTTGCACACTTCTGTTTGTCATTTGGACACCGATAATTAGTAATTGGCAGATTATATTTTGTTTTAACTTGTTACGTAAAAGGTGCAACACTTAGGAGGATCTGTTGGCAGAAAAGGAATATAATAGTCATAGGTATGTTTTCATTAGTGTATATTCACCCAGAAATAAGAATTGTATGTTTGTTACCTTTTTAGAATGAGCCGTTTTTATCCACATAGAGAGCAGATCCCCTTCCACAGAGTCCGCCATGTTGAACCACCATGTTTCTACAGGGTGTGTGTGTGGTGGAGGGGTGGGGGTTAATGTGTAAAGCTCTTTGTGTTACATTTTGCTTGTGTGAAACGTGCTATACAAATAAAGTCTGATAGATGGACTGATATTGGCAACTTCATTGCTAGATGCCACCAAATCCTACACACTGGTCCTTTTAATACCAAAATTTGGAATATTATTTTGATAGACTGTGTCTCTGACAGTTGTATATTCTTACTAATCAGTGCTCTGTGAAAACTGTTTTAACATTATAGGTAATAGTTGTCGCATCTTGGTTATCGGAGATTTCAGAGATTTTAGGGTCATTCACTCCTGTAAGTGAACTAGCAAACAATCAGAAAAGGTTTCGTCATCAAGTCCATTGGCAGTACAGTCCTAGAATTTGGCCTGCTGGTTGCTGCAGATAACATTACACACAAAACCACCAGATATGGAAATGCATAAGTAAACACAGAAATGTAAATACAAAAATTTAAGTTGGCGTGTATACTGTGCGGGCCAAAAGTGTATTTTGTCAGTTTAAAACCAACTAAATGATTTTCACATCCACATTTTTTTAGTTCTTACAACTGTGCTCCAAAAACTTAATTAATAGTCACTCTGAAAGCTTTCTGAAAGGGTTTGTAAGGCATGTCTTGCATGTTTTTTCCCTTAATAGCTGCAGAGTTGTGATTTCCAAAGCTAGTGAGGCTGCTTTACTGTAATGGCAGTCCCAAATTTCAACAAGAGGTAATAACTTTGTTGGTATGTACTAATCACTCGCTGCTGTTTAAGATGCAATTTTGAGATTCACTCTTATTCTGGCAGCAGCCATCTGTCAACACCAAAAAATAACATGCTTTGGGATTTAAGAAGATGAGGGTATTTCTACAAAATATTTTTGCCAATAGCAGCTTAAACTTCCTATTCACTCTTTTTCTGGAGCTTGGTGTGTAAGTAGAGTTATCACCCTGTGTCACGTCTGCTTGTCGGTACCAGTCCTGGTTTATTTAATAATGAGATATAATAATAAGATATCGGTGTGATCGGCCTGAATTTTCTCTGGAACAACACAGTGTGGGGGCAGCAGAGTGGGAGGCGGTGGGTATGTGTGGGTAGTAGAACAGTTTTAAATGTAGGTGGTAAGTTAAGTTTTTGTCTGCAGAATGCTAGATTCTGTGCCTGTTTTATTGTAAAATTTGAAGTTAGGCTTTCCAGTGTCATGGATTCTCCTCCCTAGGTTTCAGTGGTGAGCGTTTTTAGGCTGGCTAAGGATTCATCATAATTGTATTCTCAGTTAATAGTGAATCAACTTGGCATTTCCAACATCTATCCACACCCAGAATGCTGAGAGCTGAGTAAAAGCCGTCCACTGCCTGTGACACCTCCTCCATTTGCATGTTAAAATGTTAGATGATTAGCTGGGATATTATTTCAGTGTATTAAAGAGGCTAAGCTGTCATTTTGGACAGAAAATGGGAGTATAAGCAGCCTGCTTTCCCTCCTTTGATCCCCTACATACCATATGTTTTCATGCTTAAGCAGATGCCTTTAATACCAAAATGACATTGTAATCTTGATAAGCGTGCAAGTGTAATCTCAGCCACATTACAGACATCTGTCTGCCCTAATATTGAAAGTTTTTTTTTTTAACTAAACCCTGTCTGACTATCAGGTTATACCAAAAAAAAGCATATTGGGATAAAATGACAAGATAAATAGAGGGTATCTGGTGAGTTTAAGGCTAGAGTCACATAAATGTGGATAGACTTTAAAGCAGCATTTAGGCCTACATGGTGAAAGTTTCCTTTCTACACCTGCATTTATAAATCATTGACTAAATATTTGCTGTCTAGACTGTCCACAGAAAAAGCCTCTTCATAGTCTTTCCACTTTAGATGAATGATGGTTGTAAACAGGGAAATGATGGATTAACATCACCATCTGCTTAGGAATGTGGTCTTAGACATAGACTCTTTTAATAAAAATGGCACTTAAGCTCTGCTCTGTGACTGCAGACTACCTCTGCAATATGTGTTACACTATGGCCAATCCGTAATGCAGAGGCTGATGCATCTTTCTGCTTCTGTTGTTGTTCTGTCTGTTGATAACAGATATGTATTTAACAAAAATATATTTTTTTCCTCTTACCTGTAGTGCTATTTATCATCTAGCTTTTTTTGGTGTGAGTCACAGAGTTTTGGAGATATCGGCCATAGAGGTATTTGCCTTCTCTCCAATATAATAGAACTAGACGGCACTCGGCTTGTACGAGTGCACAGAGAGCTAATAAAAATACAATACAGCAGTCTTTTTCCAGGAATCATGTCCCAGTTACTCAAGATTATCCACACACCTTGTTGTGAGCAGTTTCATGTAGGAACTAACGTTATTTACTTTCTACCAAACTAACGTTACACCCGCCAGTCGTTAGCTGAACCTTAGCTATCTCAGTGACGCTAGGTGAGCTGGCTAACGTTACAGCTTAGCCCGTAATGTTTACATCCTGCGCCATCGAGACAAGGTCGGTGGATCATCTTGAGTAAACAGGTCATAATTTCAAGTCAAGTCCTATCTGGTTCCATTATATTCCAGAGAATATACAAACATTATATATCTATATCGATACCTATATCTATATCTATAGATATATAGATATATAGAATATACAAACATAAAATATATATATATATATATATATAGATATATATATATATATATATATATATATATATATATATATATATATCTATATATATATATATATCTATATCGATATCTATATCTATATCTATATATATATATATAGATATAGATATATCTATATATATATATATATAATATAAAATAAATATATATATATATAATATAAATATATATAATATATATAATATAGATAAATATAACTAAAAAAAAAACCAAAACCCAGCAACTCACACCATTATTGATTGATTTTGCAGTGAACTGCCCCTTTCATATTGCTGGAAAGTGGATGTTGGTTTGTATGTTTGTGAAAGGTTTATCACATTATAATATGACTCTTCACTACAATGTATAAGGCCTACTAGGTAGCACAGTACATATGGGGTGTTAACACACAGCAGAACCTGTGAGTGTAAGTCTGTCTTTACAGTGAAAAGTGCCAACAATCAGGGTATGTGCTTCACTGGGGCCGTGTGTTAGCCTAGTTTGACAGCACTTACGTGAAAGATTATTCATCATTGTTTGCCTTCCTCATGTGACATATGTCAGATCTCTTCAGCAAGCTTTCTACTTAAACACTGTTTTTTAGGAAAGAAACATAAAACACAATGCACCTTCTGTGGGCTTTTATTTGAAAGCTGTAGTTGTATTGTTGGTAGTACATATGGATAAATGTTATACACTGTCCTTCAGTTATACAAGCCTGCAGTTTTCCTTTTCTGCAACCTCCTAAAGATTCTTTTTTTGTATGATTAGACACAGAAATAGCAGTACAATGGAACAATGCACCAGTGCAAAAAATTATATTTCTGATGTGTCACATCACATGTGATTAATGGTTGTGATTGGATATTTGCTGATTGTCATACTCCTCAGCAAAAGTTCCTTTCCATATTGCTGACTCAAGCTGCCACATAAATGCTGCTTCCTTCCTGCATTAGTTCTCGTTTCTAGCAGCGGCATCCATTCAAAAACACTGGAGTCATCAGCCAAGTGTGTGAATGTGGGAGTTCTTATGTCTGTCCAGATTTTGAGTATTTTATATCTTCTTGGGAATATTTTAGGATTTCAGTTCAAACATACTGTCCATAATCTCAGATTCATGTAGAATGTTTCTCTAGGATGTAGGACACAACCTGCACTTTGTGATTGCTAGTTTGGGGGTTAGCTTTAGGTAGTGTTAGGGTTGAGGTTTAGGACCTGAATAAAGCCAATGGATGTAAGTACAAAAGTGTGTGTGTGTGTGTGTGTGTGTGTGTGTGTTTGTCAGTGTCAGGTCAAGGCTTGATTAGCACAGCAGGGTGTAGCAGTCATGTCCAGCTGCTCTCTACAGAAGTGTGCCATGATACACAGCAAGGACTCCAGTAAATGATCCACCAGCAAAGAGAGAAACCCTACGCTGAAATTAATTAAACATATGGCACGTTGCCTTATGAGTCCCTCAGCAGCCACCGACAGACACGTAGTCAGACAACACACAGGTTGTGTGATGTTCCTCATTTAAAAGCAACAGTTTCCACAAGTTAGCAAGGATTTTTAGTGTTTTTCTCCTCAGGTTTCATTCAACTTTATCTTCTCTTACCTCCAGTCACCCCTGATTTGTTGCCGGAAACACCGCTGGTGCCGTCCCTGACAGCAATATCGTCGGCACGAACCAGCTGCATCTCGCAGAAGCCCCGCAGGCGTAGCGGAAGTGACAGTGCTGCCAGGCCCCGGCCGTTGCGCTCAGCCCCCAGGCCAGGCCCTAGCCAAGGCAGCATGGAGGTGGGCATGCGCGTGGTGCGTGGCCTGGACTGGAAATGGGGTAACCAGGATGATGGCGAGGGCCATGTGGGCACTGTGGTGGAGATTGGGCGGCAGGGCAGCACCACCACACCAGACAAGACAGTGGTGGTGCAGTGGGACAGCGGCACGCGAACCAACTACCGCACAGGCTACCAGGGTTCCTTTGACCTGCTACTTTATGATAACGCTCAAATCGGTAAGCACTCATGACTCGAGTTGTACTGACACACTGAACTAGTTCAGCATTAGAATATTTACAATACCAGTGCACGTAACATACCAGTATTCTATAAACCCTGTTCTATTTTTAATAAAAACAGTATTTCTGTTTAATCAATTTGCAGCTACCCACATACTTTTGATCATAGAAAACATAACAATGCCATACTCAAATTCATGTACCTACCCTACTGGGTCATGAGAATTTGGGACCTTTTAAGATGAGGTCATTGGCTGGACAACATTGAGAACCCTGTCCTAACCACAAATGATCAGCTGTATATTAATTGAATATTTGTGCCTGTTTGTCATTGTGGTGAGTCCCGCAGCTTTCACAAAGCCCATTTGGACTAATCAGCTGAGTATCATCAGCCATCCAGCTCTATTTTGGACTTGAATGACACAGACATAAACGCAGGACTCATTAGCATTTTGCTCCATTTAAAGTGATATTTTTCTGCCTCAGAAGCTTGCCCTTCAATTAATGAAGTGAATGAAGAGGAGGAGGAGAGATGAGGAGCTGAGGGGGTGGGGGTATTTTTGTCGTACTGTTTGTGCCTCAGTTCCTCCACATCTCATGATATTAGCCACTGTGATAAGTAACATCGGTAATGACATGACATACGCCTTGAATGCTTCAGTGACTTGCAGATATGTTGAAGTATCGTACTTCTATCTTACTATGCAGGACATGACATGTAGAATAGAAATACAAGGCGTGTTGTATTTATAACCCCACTCACTTTTCTTCAACCGCCTCTCCTTCCCCCGCAGGTGTGCGCCACTCCAACATCATCTGTGACAGCTGCAAGAAGCATGGAATCATGGGAATGCGATGGAAGTGCAAGGTGTGCTTCGACTATGACCTGTGCACCCAGTGTTACATGAACAACAAGCACGACCTGAGCCACGCTTTCGAGCGTTACGAGACGGCACACTCCCAGCCGTGAGTACTATGCTGCCATCTCCCCAGCACAATTGATCCTCATTGAAATTCTAATTAACGTGTCTTCCGTTGTTAAGTCTCTGTTGTGCTTGCTCAGTTCAAATCCAGTTCCACTCGTAGGAGGTAAGACCTTAATAGTGTTGTTTCCTCCAATTAACTTTCATTAGTCTGTTGTCTGTCTACACGGACCTGGTCAGATATAATCAGGGGCTTTTTTCCTAAAGACTGTATTTTATTAAGTTAATGACAGATACAGATTTTTAAATATATATATATATATATATATATATATATATATATATATATAGTAGTATCAGTGGGATAGGATAACATTGCTGAGAGTGGATTGTTAACATGTTAATATTGAAGCAGGGCTATTCAGATCAATTAGAAAGCCTACATATTTAAAGAGCATTTTACCTCAATAAATAAAACAGTAAATTTATATTTTATATATATTTCCCTTTATTGGCCCTGAAATACAGAGAATCAAAAGAAAAGCGCTGGAGGTGTCTTGATTGGGTTTTCTCCCTTTCATTTCTGCATTTTCCAGGCTTTACAAAAAAACTTTCAACCAATAACCATTGTTCTCTGTTCTCTACTAGGATTCACTTTATTTCTGTCAGCTACAGTTCATTGTAGCCCAAAGAAAAATAACCAAGCTATAGCCTGGTTTGCATAATTAATGGTAAATAATGTTACTTGTAATTGGTGCCAGGTTTGTGCTGTGATGGTTGTTTCTGTGTGTTAAGTCAGCTTAGGCAAACCACACTTGGCCTTGTTGTGGATAAATGTTTAGTGAGCTGATTCTAAGCGTCCTCTGTATCCAGATTTACTGGAGTGAGTTCTCCCTTCAGAATCTACTCTTCTGCATCAGTTCACAGTAAAGCCCCAAACTGCTTCAGGCACTGTCTGAATGTCAGCTGGATGGCCTGTTCTCATTTTAACGAGGTGATATGTATGACCCAGATTTCTTCTATAGTTTAGCCTGGTCCAGGTCCAACACTGACTGTTCCATGTATTTTCCGGTGCCTGCTGTCTGTTGAATTGTGTAAACAGGGGTGACTTGACTTGTTACTCTTTAGCTTCGATTTGATTACATCTTCGAATTAACTATAAGGTTCAAGAGTCCAACTCCTAGTGCTCGTATCAAAAACAACAGTGTCACAGACGAGGCAACACAACAAATAAATAAGTTCCTGAGCAAAGGGATGAAAATGTATTCCCATTATTAGGGGAGCAAAGTTATGGTTTTGCTACCCCAATTTCTGTCTAAACTTATCATCATACAGTCCCAACAATCAGGTGATTATATATAAACAGCCTTTATCAGTGATCATTTTACTGTTTTCAGCAACTGACACAAACAATTAATAAAAAGATCATACATTTCAGTTTCAGTTGGTTCAGTCGAAGCTGTCGCTGATCTTTTGCCACAGCAGACTTTTGCTGTCAATCACAGTCTGTCAGTCCACACAGGAGTCTGACTATTTACCAGGTTGAGAAACATGCCATTTCACTTAACTTCTATTATGGACTGAAAATTTAACATAGGAAAAGATATGCTAGCTAAAAGTAGGATTGTACTGAAATAACAATTAGATTTGTGAGTAAACGTTGGCTAACTTTGCTCTTTTGATATCTGGCTGATCGGACAGGATTTGGGGGAGATGGGACGTTCGCAACAGACTAATATTAATGTTTGGGATATAGTGGAGGGTAAAAACACATAAATGCAGTTTACACTTCTTTCTTAGGCTACATAATGTTTAGAATTTGAACTATGAAATATCCATTATTCTAATAATGATTTTCTGTCCTGATCAACCCTATTAATACTGTTCTTTATGCATTCTTGGTTTTCATAGCACTCTCAATCTAACTAATTTAGACTAATGCAGGTGACTGTTTGTCGAGTTAATCTAAGAGGTTAGATGCTATGGAAATGCAAAATTTGTTTTAACTCTTTTTTTTTTCTTAGTCAGGGACCCCAAGATCCCTTGCTAATTGTGTGCATCTTTCCAAGTGTGCTTCCCCATTTTAAAACATAACCAGGCGCCCATGTGAACCGTTACACTCTTACCTCCAGATCTTGACTTGTTCATGACTTTAATCCAGTGCCCTTGCCGTTTTTGTTTTCACTTCCTGCTATCATTTTCTGTGGTCACATTCACACTAGATATGAGAGACGTCTTTATTAAAGTCTCATTTTGGATTTAGGTTGCGTCCACATTTGATAAGGGACCATTTTGATGCTCTGATGGTTGGGGTGGAAATGGAGCTGCACACCACTTACAGATTCTGACTTTAAGTGAAACCTGGCCTCTGCCAGTGAGACAAAATAGTGCAGTAATCATTTAGCATTCTGACAGTAGTTGGAATCTCATTTCATCTCCCACCTCAGTTTCTCTTCAGAGGTATTGATTTGTCATTGAGGCCCAAATGTTGTTTGGCTCAGCAGTGTCCTTCATTAAGGTGCTGTTTTTTGGTAGATCTAACACCTTTACGTGACCTTCCAAACCAATCGGCACAGGCCACTGCCCTTAGCTGTGGACACTGGACAAATACTTGTTTTCAGTAACAAACCATTTTTCTCATGGGGGGCAATATTAAAGTGTCAGTGTAATGATTTGTAATCATTTACAATATAGTACACAATTTCAGTTTTAGGATACCTGAACGTAAGATTCTATCAACAAATTGAAAGGTGAGGATCGTGTGTTTGATCATTGTTGAGATTGATTAGAAAAGATTAAAGTGTATTATAGCAACCAGCCTTTGTGGGTGAATAGTGCTACTATTGTTTAAGCATTCCCATCTTTAATCTGAGTTATTTAAAGGTTGTTTGTAATACCAAGCAACTGTGGTATGTCACATCTGAGTGAGACAAAGATAAACCTGGAAAACTAAAAATAAATCAAAAGAGAATCTCTACTTTTCTGGGTTGAGGCACTTTTATAACAGTGCTACCATTTAAATGTATAATACAGCCATATGTGTTTTAAAGACTCAATCTTACTGTAAGAAATTTGCTGTTGTTTGGCAGTCTTATTCTGTATGAATATTTTATAGTTTAGTTGTGTGACATTGGTAGAGGTCAAGAAACACACGTAAAATGTCAATTGAAAGTAATTTAAACCCCATGAATGTTTCATATAGAATTGATAAAGAATACTGACAAGATTAAGATTTGAAAGCATAACGTGCCTTTGATATTTAGTGCTACATTTCCTGAGTGGGGTGGCCTTGGCTCAGGTGGTAGAGTGGGTTGTTAGTGGTCGTTGGTAGTCCGAGCGCCTTGCATGGCAGCTCCGTTGGCATCGGTGTGTGAGAGTGTGTCTGAATGATATTGTAAAGCGTTTGTCTGTTAAGGTAGAAAAGCGTTATATATTAGTGCAGTCCATTTACCATTCAAATGAATGAATATTGCCTTTCAGAATTCTGGCATCCCTGTAATGAGTTTCACTAATGACATTGAGAAAATGGAGCTCACTTCTGAATGGATCAACGTCACTGATCACACACTGGGACTGTTTCCATTATGGCTCTCAGGGAGATTATTTTAATGAAACATGAATGGTATATTGATGTCCATAAGTGGCATAAAATACTGAGATCCAGCTGAAGTCAATCACACGTCCAACTTGTGTATAGAGTTACTATTTATTGTCTTTTTATTTACTGTCCACAGTGCTTAGGATGTTGTTTTGGTATTCATCATTGACCAAGTGTACAAGTTCTGTATTTGATTAATGACAGCAGTGTGAACTTGTTTAGACAGACTTCAATATGACTTCCCATATTTTATCTAGCATTGCTTGTTCTGCTCCACTCAGTATTCCAATCAGTCCTTTAATTTCTCCAATCCATGTCCTATTTGCAATTATACACCCCCTGGAGCTGAAATTATACTAAAAGCTTTTTTCAGCTTTCAGAAAACATATTTTGCTCAAGTATTACATATTATTGAACAAATTGAGTTTTACACCGTGGTTTTAAATTGGATTGAAATTTGACCTACAAGGTCAACCTTTGTTACAGACTTATATAACAAATATTAAAGAATACATACGTAATGATTCATTATGTCTTGCTTAGCTATGTCCAAGTTTTTAAACACAGGTGCTTTTTTTATGTATTGTATATAAATAAATAAAATGTCTTCTCTCGTCATCCTTTTATCAAAGACATCTTTGCATGATCTCAGTGAAAATGGAGTTGCAGTTATTGCTCAGCAGTGGGACAGAGTGTTCATCTGGGAAAACATCACATGAAAGTCACTTCTTTTCTCGAATGAAATAGAGGAGCACTCTATAGTTTGTGGTGCCAAACACACAGTACTTCTTTATTTCCAGACCACTCTGACCCATATTTCACTGACAGCATTTCAAAAGACTAATTTATTATCTGGCAGTCATGGGACACACTTGATATTTGCCTGGAAAGGCAAATTTAGCTTGGTTTCATAATGAGTGGGACTTTGTGTTGTGCCAGCAGTGATTTATGTGAGGAGACTTGGGTTTGGGCTTAACATAGTTAAGAGGGACTCCTTTCATGTGGACCAAACATGTGTGAGGCTTTAATGGCAACTTCAGCAGGGCAGATCTATTTGTAGTTTATAGACCTACTGTAGGCAGAAACTTTATTTGTGTCCTGAGGGGACAATGGGAAGTTGTCAACGCTATAAAGTGCTGCAGCACGCTGACACTCGAGCTGTACCATCATCGTGTGAGACCTGAGCCGGATGTACTGTACAGAATTGTTCCATTGTAATTACAACAGATTTAACTGGATTAGCATGCTAACATTCTCAGCTGTGCAGATTAGCATGTTAACATTTTCAACTTCCTAGAAGACATGTATTAGGTAACAGGTGTTAGATACGTAGTATATCAAGGTGCAATAATAGCTCTGCACCAGTGTTGTGCATTATTTGACTGTTGTGTGTTCCCTCAACACTGATTAGGGCTTTATTTTTATTGTAAATCTTCAGGATCTGAGTTTGATTCAATTATTTTTGTAGTAAAACTTTTCGGACTTGTGCTGTAACTGCAGATAGCTGTTCAGTATTCTGGACGGCTCACTGCGTCCTGCATTTGGCTATGACTCTTGTGTTTTAATACTACATTGAGACGTGCGTGCATGCTGACAGTGCTCAGAGCAGCATATGCATGCACCATATGTTTACGAGGAGATGGTTGGTATGCAGCCGGTTAATCGGCTCTTCACCACAAACAACACACACACAGTTCCAGAAAACCTGTCGGGTCAACTCAATGCCTAATCCTTTCTTTGCACATACACTGCCTCATATGACCTCCCCAACTCCCACCCTGTAGTCACGTTTAAGGCATGTCCAACTCAGCCCCACTACTGGCCTGCAGAGTTTTCCAGTGCTTTCTTGCCAGAATTGCCTGGAATTTCCACCTAAATTTGGTTCGAGTAGTCTAACTGGAATTTCTTTGCTCATTTCTTGACGTGTGTATGTAGATTTTTGCACTTCTTCCTCATTTCCACCGCTGTCTTCTTCAGTGTATTTAAAAAGGGCTTCGGTCCTGGTAGGTGGTAGGTGAAGTGTGGACTAAAGCAAAGTTGTTAGACAATGTATTGATGCATCTTTTGGAAGTTGTGTCTTATTAAACATAGTCTGCTTTAGTCTGGATTTGTGTTTCACAGTAGTAAAAGTACCACATGCACATTAGAGGAAGTACAGTAAATGCAAACAGGGTGAACATTGTAAACCATGATACTTTGAGGTGAAAGCTCTGTGCCTCATGCTACGCACAACTGTTATCATTACACAAATGTATAAACTGACATCCACTACTTGTTTACGTGAATATTATCTTGTGAAATTGTTTGTGGTGTAATAGTAATTCTATGCATTCCACTGCCTTTATTTCAAAACAGTCCCTAACCTTTGGCTGACTGTTGACCCAGCCGTTGTGTCAGTAGGTGTAGGTTTCCTGCCCTCATCCCGTCTGGGAGCAGGGTGACATTTGGTCAAGCAGGATTAGAAATCCTGATCCCTTGAAAGGGCTGTTGTCTTTCCCAAAGTACTTACACTGAGAAACAACATGTAAACAACACTGAGGTCATGATTCTTTTTCATGGAAAAGAGACATCTGTCAGTTACATCCACTTTACTATTTCTAAATAATTAAGGAATCAACTGGTAAACTAGCTTTCCTGTCCTGAACAAATTACTTTTCTGTCCTGGTCTGAACTAAATCTGCTTTGCCTTGTCAGGAAATTGGCACAGCTTTCTTCATTATCTACATGACTGTTAATACTATGAGTTCAGGAAGTCTGTTGTTACAACCACCATTGTTTTCGTTAGCCTTATCACAGTTGTACCATTTATATCCCAAATTCCTTGAAAAGCTCTAAAAACACACCAGCACCAGCAATTCAATTCATTGAAGCAATGTAGAAAAATGTGTTTGTACCAAGCCCATGTACTGTATTTCTGTTTGTATCTCCATTATATAATTGAATACAGACATTATGCATGCTAGCACCTACGTGCTCTATGCTTTGTCCTGAGGTGGCCTGCTTTCTGATAACTCTGCTGTCCAGGGATTAGGCTCAGAGCTTTGTACTCAGATACACACCGTTCTCAGCACAGACTAAGAACCAACACAGTCCCGCACTGAGATTTACTGTCAGTTGGCTCTGAGAGCCAAATGTACTGCTGTTTCCTGCCGTTGCACCCAGGAACCTAACAAATCTGGCCAGTGATGGGGGATGAAGTTAGCCAATGCTAACTTTAAGCAAAACCTCAGCGCTCGAGAGACATGTGGGAGCAGCAAAGCCTCTATGAGGCTCCCTGAGGACGACATCTCTCACAAGGCTCTTTTTCTTTTGATCTCACTGGATTTTATATGACTTTGAGCCTATCCAAAAAGCTGTTTGGTTTAAATGGAAGCTGGGGTTTGATCTCGTCAAGAAAGTATGGGAATAGGCAGCTCCTTTGCACCAAGATCTGATCAAATCTTTACCATAAGGTATGTCAGATATGACTGTCTTACCTCAGTGTCTGAATCTGTATTTGCAGTTGAGGTTGTTGGTCAGTGTTAGATTTATGATTGTTGACACTGATTGTTGGCAACTATCCATTGGTTTCCTCAATGTGTTCTTTGAGTTTAACATTCCTAGAATACTATCAGAACAAACTCCTTGTTTTACAGTAAGAAAGGTATCCTGCTTATCTCTTGACCACTTATGGAAGATTGTCAATAGAATAGACAGCAAACTAATGTGAAGTCATTTGTTAGGCGGTGGAGCTGGGAAGTCATCGACGATGGTTATCATTAAATTGTGCGTGTGGTTTTTAGAGGCTGTCATGTTGAGCATGTGGTGACATGAAGCAGATATTACTGTGCTAATAAAAGAGGAAAAGAGGAAGACAGATGGAAATAATTCTTTAAAAGGTTTTGCAGGTATTTTGGAGGTAGGGAATGTATTCATCATGTTAGGATACACGTTACTTATTTTGGCAAGAATTGTAAATGTAAACAAAGATTGTGTACATGAAAAAAAGTTATTTTTAGTCTTTTAGTTGTCAGGACATCACAGGAGCCTGGTTTATTCTCAACTCAGTGTACAATAAGCACTATCTTTAATACATGAATAGGTTCTGCATGTCAGTCATATATAGCCTGTAAGTTTCACAGGATCAGTCTGTTGAATTCCGTTCTGTCCGTCTGTTAATGGACTTTTTGTCCGTCATTTATTGGGATTTTGCATGACAGCAGAATTTTGTTGTTCAGATTTATGAGTAATATAACAAATGTATGTGGGTTGTGCAGCGCATATAACCCATTGTCCATTGATCATCAAGGATGTTTTTGTACTTTATAAGCTTCAGTCAATCAGTAACATGGCTGACAAATGTTTAATAATTGGCATATCTAATCACGACCAATGTATATTGTAGTAATAATGTAAAAATGTACATTATTGGATTTATAGTCAAGACAGGAAATTTGTACTTTGTTTAGTTTGGGGTTTTGTTTCAAGGATATCCTAGAAACATTGTCTTAGATGGTCCATAAAGCAGTTTGTTCAGCTGTGTCTCCATGCTCTTATCACAGAGTGAGCTTGGCACCGAGGCAGAACCTCCCACGGATCATCCTCAAAGGAATCTTCCAGGGGGTTAAAGTGGTTCGTGGACCTGACTGGGACTGGGGCAATCAAGACGGTGAGTACTGTGTATGTGTGTGTGAGTGTGAGGTGGGGGTTGTTCCTAACCACTAGCTTGTTGCTGCAAACTCAGCAGGCCCTCTACCTTCTTGAGCATGGAGCTGTACCTCTTCAAAGTGTTTCACCATCCACAACCCATAATAACGCTCTAACCCCACGTCTCATTAACCCGCGAAATGTCGTGTTAGTATGTGTCTGCGTGCACTTATATTGCCAGTGAGTCATCTGAGTCTGTTCCACAGATGTGCCCGTCAGTGTGTGTCTGTGTGTGTCTGTGTGTGTCAACATCCTTGTTCAGTAAAATTGATGTTCTTTGTTTTTCTTTTTCCAACCTTGTGTAGTGGCATAAACCGAGAAGCCCCTTCACTTAAAGTGTAGTCTATGTTGCAGGTGTGAGAAGGTAGATTATTGTGCTATGAATTGTGTTATCGTTATTCTATGAATATCTGCAGTTTTACGTTATGTGACAAACTACGAGTCTACACTGTTGCTGTTTCTAAAAAATGGGTTCCCTTTCAAATACAAACAGCCTGCACTGGTTGCTGTTCGAAATACTTTAAATAGTAATTGAAAGCAATCTTTCACATCAGTGGGCTAAATTAGAGCCCTCGACTGTTCCCTTTAGGGAAAGAGGGAATGCTAACATGTCTTTATATTTCCTGGTCTGGGGTCATCGTTGTCTCTGAGAATAGCAACGCTCTCTTTTCTGGGCTAGAGCGAATGAGTCAAAATGTCCTTTTGGTGCCTTTGAAATCAGCGCCCTGGGGTTTGGTTAAGTCACTCATCAGGCTTAAATGGTGTAAGTGCATACAGGATTCTCTGAGCATGCTTAGAAACCCCGAGCTCGCCATGAAGTCTTAACGGGTCACTGGTTTAGTTGGTGTGGGTAGGCGGTGAGGCGGCTTGATGACTTTATTGGCTTAACAAGGGTTTTCTTACATCATAAAACCTGATGTATAGATGTAAAACCATCTTATGACACAGCTTGTGGAAATGTTGTATTGTTTAACGTTGATTTTTTTATGTATTTGAATCAAGAAGGGGGATTGTGTTTTGTCATGACTTTGATTCCGGAAGAAAACATTAAGGAGTGAGCTGGCTTGAGGAAATGGAAGTGAATGACTTTGACACTTGGAAGCTTGTGTCCCTACAGAGAAAATGTTTCTCACACACCCCTGTGTCTGTCATCTCATTAGTCTCATATGTTTACATTGTGCTTGTCAAATTCTTCTTTGGATGATTACATGTGTACTCTGTTGTTCACACAGTTTTCTCCTGATAAAAACTTCTTTGTCTAATGACATTTCTTTCTTCAATGAGCTGATTTTTCTTTCACTGCCTTTGTCTCTCCCCCTTCTCCCACACACTTATGCATTATTGTTTCTTTCATATTTGTGTGCATTTACGTAGGCGGGGAGGGTAAGGTTGGGAAGGTAGTGGACATTCGTGGCTGGGACACAGAGTCTGGTCGCAGCGTGGCCAGTGTCACCTGGTCAAATGGCACCACCAATGTCTACCGAATGGGACACAAGGGCAAGGTAGACCTCAAATACGTGTCTGATGGCCAAGGAGGATTTTATTACAAAGACCATCTACCAAAATTAGGTAAGTCGGGCAGTTTCAAAGTATGCATTCCTTAAACTCTTAAGTTATTATTTCTCAGTTATTTAAGAGTAAAGCAATATATTTTTATCTATAGGTTCGGTGGTACTTTTGCATGGCATTTTTAAACATTACAGTGATGTAAATATGACATGCTTACCTCAAACCTCTTAAGTTAATTGTTGATCCCACACCGTTTATCCAGGAGAGCACGCCGAGCTGCAGCGCCAGGAGAGTGCTGACGGCCACTCCTTCCAGCAGGGCGACAAGGTCAAGTGTCTCTTGGAGGTGGACATCCTGCGACAGATGCAAGAGGGCCACGGAGGGTGGAACCCCAAAATGGCAGAGGTAAAAAGTCTATAAATCATACAATTCTAAACATATTAACAATAGACAGCTTTACATAACCCCCTGTTGAATTCTTCTATAATGTAGAAGTACAAAGTGAAATTCCCTTGTTTTTGTTTGAAGTTGAAACTAACACTTTACTAGTACAGGTCCATTTACCACTTTGTACTTTGTCTAAAACATAAAGAGTACACACTATGCGCAAACATTGCCCCGCAGTCAAAACACACATGCCTCTTGAACCTGGCATACAGAATATTTATATAAGCATCTCAGATGTATGCTGGCGTGCAACAAAGTGAAAGGAAACCGAGGCATCCAACTCTCTAATCACAGCTGCTAAAGGGAGCATTTTAGGTCGCAGCCATGCAGAGTGAGACCCAGGGTGAAACAGCCTATTTGTGTTTTGCAGTACATTTGCCGGATCGGGACTGTTCATAGAATCACTGACCGAGGAGATGTCAGAGTCCAGTACAGCAACAACATCCGCTGGACTTTCCATCCTGGGGCCCTCACCAAGGTACTGAGTTACAGAGGAGAGCCGGAGAATCTTATCTTATCAGAACTTCAGTTTAGTTTGCTTCTCAGTATTTTTCTTAGAACTCAACCCATTTGTTAACGCTGTTCGTCTTTCTTTCCAGGTGAACACTTTTGGAGTTGGCGAACTAGTTAGAGTACTGGAGGACATGGAGAGTGTGAAGAGACTGCAGGCTGGCCATGGAGAGTGGACAGACAGCATGGCTCCTGTATGCTCATTTAGCCTGATAATACGAACTCTTCATGGTATTTTAGCATTGGTTATAAAGGCTGAATTCATGCCATACTGTGGCAGAGGTTTACTCGAGTCACGTGGCATGGACGAGTCATGAATCTTTAGGCTAGGGTCATGATGACTTTAGAGTTGACTTTAGAGTTGACTTTAGAGAATTTACTTGTAACTGGACTTTGATTATTACCTCAGTGACACATGACTTAACGTGGACATTAACCTTTTGAAACAAACAAATCTGTCTGTGCAATATAACATTTTATATTTTCATCTGAGGCTTTTTCTTTTTGGGGATTTTAAATCCATAGTTAGCTTGACTCTGGATTGCTTTATCTGCATGTGTGACTTGATTTAGGGTTTTATATATAAGACTTTTGAAAGTTTTGCCTTTTGGAACAATGACTGGCTCTCATCTCTGTATTCTGGTACATTCAGGTTACTCCCTGTTTGCGTGCATGATGTTAAGTGTGTCACTTGCTAAAGTAAAGCCTTTATTTGGCAGACATCCCTCTTAAGAGTGACCTACTTCCTAAAAATTAGGTGTACATCAGGAAGTAATCAAGTTTAAAGCTGTTTCCTCGAATGTGGCCTCGTTATTTACCTAGAAAGCCACAGAAATTGGTCCTGCAAATACCATGAATAGTTCCTGGTTGATTAGTTTTTCCACTCTTTATTTCTTAATGTGTCTCGGTCAATCTTCTCCCTTGTTCTTTAACCCTCCAAAAGTCCATGCCGCATCCACCTTATTTACCATTTGTTTCCTAGGTGCTTGGCCAGGTCGGGAAGGTGTTGAAAGTATATGCGGACGGTGACCTACGGGTGGCCTTCGGAGTGCAGACTTGGACATTCAACCCAGCGTGCCTCTCGGCCCAGCCTGTGGAGGTGGACGCCAACCTCATGACAGCCGAGAACCCCAACGAATCTGGAAGTAAGGCCTCTGCCGGGACGAGGGGGCTTCATCTCTAACACTTCAGCTCCAGCTTTACCTTCTGCGTGCATTCTTTCATCCTCCCCTCTGCCCTCATTCCAGCTCTGTCTCTGCCGAGCATGCATTCACATACAGGCTGCAACTGTGGCATTTACAGCCACAGTCAGAGCCATTCCCTTGTCTTGTGTTTTTTCAGCATGTTGTGTACCGGGTGTCATTTCTTGAAATTCTCTTCTCTATAGCATGTCAAAGTCCTGCATGTTGACATCGAGAGGCTTTGGCAGCGCAGCAGGCATTTGTCATAATGTCAGGGGTTCTCAGCAGTCTCGTAATCATGACTAAATCTACTCTGTGCATGCGTTCACTTCAGTGGATGGGAGGTTGACAACAGAGTGATATGTGTGTATGTCTGTGTTTGTGAATGTGTGGTCAGATTGCACTGCATGGAGGGACATTTTGACTCATTCCTGTGGTTTTGCATTGAGCCCAGCTTTGACAAACCCATTAACCAGTGTGTCTTTGTGGTGCGACTGGCCCTCTGGAAAGCTTTCCGACACCACTAATCATGCTGTTCACATTAGAATGATGAAGCTAAATTAATCCTTTTGTCTCTCTTGTCCCCATTTTCACAACCTTTTCCCTCTCTCTTCCTCCCCCTCTCCATCTGGTTATGTCTCTGTTCAGGTACTGTCATCTCCGTGTTGGAGAAGCTCCTGTCTCAGTCCACAGAGCAGGACAATCCCAGCCGGCTGGTCATTGAGGCAGCACACGGCAGTGCCAGCAAAGTGCGGGAGTTGGTGCAGAAGTATCCTGACAAGGTTAGTGCAGCACTCCTTCTCTTTGCTGCAGTCCACTGCCCGTTCCAAGAGCTCTTTCTATCGGGACACCAAGACTGGGGGTGGGGAATTTAAGGGCCAGAATGACTTAGTGAGCCAGATAAGACAAGGGAAATATTATACACCCAATTGACCAATGTGTTATATATTGCATGTTAGGAATGAACATCAGGAAGATTAGCTGATTGCCTTGGCATTAGGTAATGGGATCCTTTTAAATAAAAAATTAACACTGGCATTTGCCAGTTTGTCCATTGAAGCTAAAGACTGACTCCCAGTATCTTTTAAAATTATCGACTCTGTGTTATTCTGCTAAAACCCAGAAGCAAAACATGGGGCAGAGCATTTTTCTTTTCACTTTTTGTTGTAGTCAACATGGTTTGGAAAAAGATAAAATATTTTTCCAGACAATATGTCACTCTTTTAGCTCTTGGGGACTCCAGTGCCTCCCATATTAAAAGATCTACACCCACAGAAAGAGTCAACCACCTTTCACCTTTTTTTCTAAACATGTATTTGTTCATTTATAATGATGAAGAGATAGAAATGTGGAACGTATTGGATATGACAAGGAAAACTATGTCTGTTAATAAATTATGAAATTGATTGTCTTCATTTAATTGGCTTGATGTTTTTGGTCAAGACACTCTAAGACTGATTATTGAAATCAACAGAAGGAGAGATGGGAGAACAAGAGAGTGATCAGTGACTGAACCCACTTAACTATGTCAGTTTAGGAAAACTTAACTACTACATAAAGAGGTATAATATAATAATATATATTCTATAAAAGAAGCCTTTTTCCTGGTTAACTAAAGTTATATTTTATGTCTCACAAGATTTAAGTTTGAGAATTAATATGTTCTTAAATGACATCAAATGTGACACATCTAGCATTAATTATTACTGCTGTAACATATGTCAGAGACAGCATTCAAACACCAAACTTAAGTAAGACGATCACATACAAGCAAATCCAGTACATGAACTTATGCTTTTCACATCACAAATAGGTTTTCTGAGGCTTAAGGCAGATTTTGGTAGATCTCGGATGGAAACAATTCTGGATTCTCTGTTGCTTGAATTTATGGCTGAGGCCTGCAACCAAGAAATGCTTTTGAAGCTGACTCTTAATGGAAAAGGGATCATCCAAAAAAGAGGTGGTCTGCATGTGTTTTCAGATATTGTCCTTCTCTGCCTCACACTAACATCCTATGGGGTACTCTTAATGGGGAGAGTGTAAGAGGTGAAGAGGTTAAAGGTCTGGCTCAAGGATGAACAGGAGAAGCAAGCATCCTTTTCTTGTACCTGACATTTTATTTTAGCAGTAATCATCATGCGCTACAGGGAGATATTGACACACCAAAACAAAGATATTTGTTGCAGTGATAATTGTTCCAACTGAGAAGGAAAAAAATTAACTCTGACATTTGTAATCAATCACCTGTAATCCAAACTGGTGTTGTAGCAAAAACAAAAATAATGTAGAACATAAAAGCATCAAAAGGTTGGCAACACTGTAAATTAATAACAGCTGAGATGTATGATCCAATGAATGTCACCAGTATAAATAAAATATTCTGACATCATTTTTTTCTATCCCTGAGTTTTAGCACGAACAGAATAAGCATTGAGAAAAACAAGACAACAAGATTTTCCATTTATAGATTTAACACTTAAAAGTAAAAAAAAAAGTAACTGTACCTGTAATTTGCTAGGTCAAAAAAGTTGATTTGATGTGAAGTTACTGTTTATGGTAATGCTGCTTTCCAAATCATAAATGATGCTGTAGCCCCCAAAATGTCTGATACTGTAAGTTCTAAAAAAACAAATAATGTGTGCAGGTAATTATCAAAATTAGCTGTAATTTTATAGTAATATAATATAGCACATTTCCTAGCCTTTTCTAGATAATTAGTGAGAAAAGTAATAACTTGTTGCACAATTAAATCAAAGTAATTTTAAAGTACTTATTTAGTTATGTTCGTGACAACATTTCTACTCAGTGACGACTACACCGCTAATTAGGATTATGTATCAAGTGTATGACAAACGTGGTTGTTGTTCAGGCTCAGATTATTTCCAGCCAGCTCTGTATAGCTCTGTTAGTGTCCGGTACAACACCGCCTCTGATGAACATTCGATCACGTTTGTGTTCCTGGCAGGTGGATATAAAGAACCAGGGAAAGACTGCGCTGCAGGTCGCCGCTCACCAAGGCCACATGGAGGTTGTGAAGGCCCTGCTGCAAGCCAACGGCTCCATCGAGGTTAAGGATGAAGACGGAGACACAGCATTGCACTACACTGCCTTCGGGTGAGGACACGCACACAGTTTTTCTGCACACATACACACCTTTGAGTGTAGAAAAAGTGCAAAGGTAACACACACAATGATGGAGTTCACAACGGGATGCAGCTCTGCTCTTTGTTTTTATTTTGGAAAACTGACAGATGTACAGTAGAGCTTCTGTCTGTCTCTTTCTTGTAATGTGATGATAATCCAATCAAAGAAGTGACGTCTAATCAGCCAGCCACATATCATCCTCTCACCACATTAACACATGCTCAGCATGTCAGCATTTAGAAGATCTCTTCAGGAATTCCTACTTGTTGAAAATAACTTTGTTTTACTGCTTTTCTGCAGCAGGGGTAGTCCATGCAAACAAAAGGATGATATTTGTGCAACTTAACATGCAACTTTTGAGCTTTGTGTAGCTTCCAGTAGTTTTCAGAATATGAATTTGAGTTTTTATTTACTAGTTTGAATTAACTTAATTGAAAACACTGCTCGGTCAGGTTGAATCACTCAGTGGAAACAGATGACAGTGAGGAATAATCTGTGCATGTGTCTTTTTCTTTTTATGGCGTCTTCCACTTTAGTAATCAGGCAGAGATTGCACGGCTGCTGTTGAGCAAGGGGGCAAATGTCAACCTTCTGAACAACTCCATGTGCACAGCGCTCCACATTGCCGTCAACAAGGGCTTCACCGACGTGGTGCGAGTGCTGACCGAACATTCGGCTGATGTCAATCTCCAGGTGAGAGATCGCTAGAATGCTTAATACCGCAGACTGGCCTTTGATTAAAATGTGTTGCCCCAGTGAGGATTCTGGTGTGTTTTTCAACCCTTAAATATTATTCAACTACATTAACTGGTCTTGATTGATTCTGCACTGTGCCATAAAGTATAAACAAGTGAATATAGCTCTATGCTAGTGTAATAGAGTGTACCACTGGCTTTGTAAATATGAAATGATTAGCCAGTTGCTAACGTGTGTGTCATGTGTGACAATGCACACATAGAACAAAAATGCTATTAAATATCTGCACAAACTGTAAAATTGTACTGCTTGTGCAGCATAATCCATGTTTCAGGGATCTGTTCATATTCCTATTTGGTCCCATATGTGTTTTTTTTTTTTATGTTTCTATGTAAACAAACCCTTATCATTCCTTTATCTGGCACTGTGACTGGTAAGGAGGGATTGTAGAGTGAGCTCATGACTTAGCAAGTAGCCAATGACTGCGGGTCGACCACTGAGTGAGCGTCTGGGTAGCCAGTAAGTGGCAGTCTCACTCATTTGCCATACACATGTCGTCAGCAACTCACACAATGCCTTTTCAAGCTGTTGTAAACACACAAATTCAAACATTTATGGTATTTGACTGTGACTCTGCTTCACTTCAGCCCTCAGCCTCATTAAGGCAATTTAATGACTCTTTTAGGGCATTTTCCAGAGTGGCTAACATGCCTGCAACCAGGCCCAGAATTCACTAACAGCATATTTTTTCTGCTTGAGTAGAGTGGCTACTCAGCTAAAAACATGGAGTAGGAACCCAGAGTTTTTTTTTTTGTTTGTACCACATACAATCAAAATGTACTGCAGCATCTATCACACCACTTATATAGACCCAAAATGAGTATACATCGTCTAGATATCAGGATTACAACAAATTCTAGTGAATTAAATCATGTCATGGCTGCAGATTAAGTTTTGTATTATATAGAATATGTATTGTATTGGAAAACAACGTTTCATTCCCTGGTCTCCTCTACTAAGACACTGTCCTTCACACTACTTACACCAAACACATTGTTAACGGCATTTTACATTTTGCTGTGTCACGTCCCAACACGCCTCAAGAAAAGGCCCAAAAACCTGCACAACTGGTTTAGTTCCAATATATGCAACAGCCTCACTCAATGTGCCACTTTTCTCCCTCACTCAGGACTCATATGGGGATACGCCGCTGCATGACGCCATTGCTAAAGATTTCCGCAATATCATCGAGATCCTGGTCTTGGTGCCCAACATTGACTTCACCCAACAGAACCACCGAGGCTTCAACCTGCTGCACTATGCTGCCCTCAAAGGAAACAAACTGTGAGTAGAGATCATATCTAAAAAATTCTGCTAGTATGTTTTAAAGCTTCAACGCTGTCATATCATAACAAGTGTTTACCTGTTTGCCCGGGTACTAATATAGCCTTGTACTTGCCATTGAGTTTGAACATTTCACATGTGGCTAACCATAACTTAATAATGGTTAATAATGACAATAATTGTAAATCATAGCCAAAGTAAGGAAAAATCAGCACTAGTTTGGAGCAGTCTAATTTTAATTTAATTGTGGAGTATTCAATCAGACAATCATGATCATAAGTGTTATTGTGTTATCAAAAATATTTTTAATCACACAAATCTGGACAGTCTCCTGTAATGTGAGCTTGTTAGGTCCCCAGCATGTGTGCACCAAATAAATCCAGCTGCTCATCAGGAATGTGTGTCTCTAGGATGAGAAAGATCCAGTCTGAGTGTCATGTGTGTTCTTTTCAGGCTGCTCAGTTTAAATGCATGTATCTGATGTGAGCTTTGGAAATTGTGTGTGTGTGTGTGTGTGTGTGTGTGTGTGTGTGTGTGTGTGTGTGTGTGCGTGTGCGCGTGTGTGTGCGTGTGCGTGTGTGCGCATGTGTGTGCGCGTGTGTGTGAATCTCTCCTGTGGGTTCAAATGAGGACTCAAAGGTCAACTCTCAACACTATCCGTTACAGATAGAGCTCATCTCCCACACAGCTTCTGCTACTGTCAGCATGCTGGCAGTCAATATCAGGCAAAAATGCAACAACATTTACTTCTGCACACTGTTTCCCTGCACATTGACTTGTCCTCCAAAAACTACATTTAGTTTAGTGAGTCATTTTCAGCAATGCAGAGCATGGGATTCATGAGTGGTCAAAAATTCAAAAAATCCCAAAAATCCAAACAAACTGTGTACCAGATTTTTTTTTTCCCAGGAAAGACTTATCCTACACAGCTTTCATGACTTGGCTGTAGGTTGTATCACAGTGCTTATTGAGAGAGAGAGAGAGAGAGAGAGAGAGAGAGAGAGAAAAAACACTTTGATTTTCATGAAAATATCAAAGTTAATTCCCCCCAAATTGCCCCATATATTGTATTCCTCCCAGTGACACCAATAGGGAGCTGGTGAAAGATCAGCTCAGCCATTTTAGTCTACACCGAAGTGCTTGAGGCCAAACATCAAGGCTGCCTCGCTGACACCTGTCACAAAGGCTCCATTGTCTTATGACTGTGTTGGTTTTAGGCTGGTTGACACTAGAGGTGCTTAATCACAAGCTGAGCCGTGACAGCACACTGACCAGGCAGACAGAGATGCAATGCCTAACTGGATGTTCTCACAATGATATGGTTTCATCCCTCAAACACAACCCTTTATTTTTGGTGTGCCAGTGTCCTCCTCTGTCCATGTTGCATCACACCAGCTCCCACACACCAGGAATAGCCTGGAAATGTAGAGAGAACGCACCACAGTGAATTATTCCTTTCTTTTAGAAGTTACCATAGTTCTCTGTAGTACTCTACTGTGAATTTATTTTAATATGTTATTATTGATAAATCTAAATGTAATGTGTTAGTGCCTTACAAATGAGATCATTTGTACTTTTTTTTTATCCCACGACCAACATTTACAGTTGTGCAGTTTTTCCTTATAGTGTTTACATTGTAAACCATCAAACCGTCTTCAAACATCGCTATAGATGCAGCCAGTGTTGAGTTGATCTGTAATATAATATTAGTACAAGGGATTCATTACAGTAAAATGCTTAAAAAAAAACCTTAACATGTGATTTATTTGCATTATTTATACATCAGATCGTATTTTTATTTCAGTGAAAATTTGAACAATTAGAAAATCTGAGTCGTTTCCAGAGCAGTCAAAGTTGTGTAACACATCCGAGTAAGAAAGTTCGCTTTCCTAAGATCAAGAAAATATCATTGTTTACACCTGTTTTGAAAAATGAATGAGTGTCCTCACAAGTCTAAGTACCTTCTTAGAGTTGATATTTTCACAGTTCGCCAAGTCTGCCTGACCATGCTGAGGTTCCTGTGTCTTTGCTCCAGAGCTTTTATAAGACCTCATATGAACTTTCCTTCCCATATTATAACAAAACCATGTAATGGAAAACTTGTCCATGACTCTTTTTAAAGCAGTGCCATGAAGGAAAGGAAGCAAGAATGAAAAACACCAGCATCACCAGAAATTTCCTCCCCGAAGTGATGCCACTTCATTCAAAGATTCACTTTTTATGATTTTTAAAGTGCATTTGATGGTTAATATCTTGGAAATGTATATTCCAAAGAGTAGAAGCTCTGATACTGTCATTAGTGAAGATTTTCAGGCTGTGAGTAGATCACCATAGCTTGGTCCAGTCCAGTCTGTCCAGTACTAAACCAGTCAGAAAATAGCATAAGTCAATCAGTTTTTATCATTGAAGGAAAGCTTTGAAGCACTAAAGTCTGACCTCCTAACCACACCTCCTAGTGACCCAGTCCTAGCTCATAATGTATGAATCTTTTTGAAAGTATTAGTGTAATCTCGGGACAGCCATGTACTAGAGTGCAATATGTGGACAAATGTCAACTGAGCAGGGGAAAATAATACAGTCTGCGAGCAGTAACTGCAAGTGAGAGAGGAAAAAGAACGCGGGTGGAGGCCGCAGCAGACAGTCCTTTTAATAAATGTCCGATCTGTTCTGGCAAGTGTCATATGTGCAGTGCTGGGAGTTTAGGCTGCAGTTCCCAGCATTCATTTAGCCTGACATCAGCCGCTGCGCCAGAAGTAGAGACGCGGGATTTACAGTGTTCAAGATTAGCTCGGTTCAGCAGTTCATTCATATATCACCAGCAGGCCTATGCTACATTGATACAGTCCAGGTGTGTATGTTTTCCTAGTTTATTTTGACTTTAGTACAAATTGTAATATACAGTTTGAGTGTGCGCAGGCATTAGATTGAGGGTAAACACATCTCATCACAGTGTATCTCCTGTTTAAGATGAGATTAATCATTGTGGATTGTGTAAATTCAAAATTTGTTGGCGTTTATAATTGTGGAATTGAATTACTATGCTATTTGATGTTCATCCACCTTTTATTTACAACTAACAAAGTATGATCTGTAACTCTGCCTGAGATTTTCCCCCTATTCAGCTGATTATTGTCATCAGCAAGTAAAGATCATCAATAAAAGTCGATTTTTAGTTGTCGGTTACTGTAAGCAGATGTGGTCCTCTGTTGTTTCTTTTCTTTAGTTTTTTTGTGACAGAAAGATGAGAATGTTTTGTTTATTAGAGTATTTATTTATTGTGAGGAAATGGAAAAAGAGGGCTAGAGGCCAAGTTCACAAACAGTCCTGGGAAAGAAAAGAAACAAGGCAAGCGGCCAGATTCCTTCTGGGGTTTTCAGCTTGACAGAGGGGGCAAATGGATGTACAGGATGGTCTGTTTACTGTATTTATTGAAAAGAGAGAATACTTGGCTTGATTTCTTCCCTCGTTCCTGTAATCTTACCTCCTCCAAACTTCTTTGTTTTGTCCTCATTTTCACCAGATCCCCAGCAGTTTCTTCTATTCTTCCAATCCCTTCTATTCCTATTTACTCCTGTCCGTCTGGAGTTACCTTGTGCCTTTTTACAGTACAGTGTAAACTGTCACTGACACAGAGATTTTGCAGCATACACACTCTCATACCTAATTATGCATGAAATCCTTTATTTCCATTTCCCGGTCGCATCATAATATAATCGTCATGATACATTTCTTCTGCTTTTATCAAGCTTTGATCAAGCAGCCGGTCACAAACAAGCATGATGCAAACTCCCAAAAATAACCAGGTGATGACTTTAGCCTCCAGAAAAGTCACTACCACTGTGCCTTCTAGCTGATGCCCTCTTGCTGTTGTGTGTGAAGGCATGTTTGTACAAAACTGCCCCAAAACGTCAGCCCATGTCTGAATATTCATGAACACACAGGAGTAACGATAATGGAAGTAATGCAGAGAAACGAGGCATAAAGGGTACAAAGGTGACACAACTCACACGGCTTTGTCCGCCTCAGATCTGCAAGGGTGAGCTTTTAGCTAACGAAGGCGCTCTGGAGACCACTCAAAAGCAGGAGCGATATTTCCCTCTATCAATACCATCACCACACACACACACACACACACACACACACACACACACACACACACACACATACACACACCCCGACGGAGCTGCATTGCAGGTACCAGTGACCTCCAGCAGTCTCCCCAACAGCCTTCATGTACATGTAACAAAGCAGCATGCACTCTCAGCTGTCCACACCCGCAGTAATGCATTTAAAATGTATCAGCAATCTGCTGCTAGTGACCCTGTAAACATTGTAATTTGTTAGTTATCATAATTAAAGCTGCATTAAAACTGATGCAAAAATAATTGTTTTTCTCATGTTCCCTTAACAGCACTGGGATCATTTATACAGTGTTATTCAGGAATGATAACACTGTTTAGATGCATTATTCAAGAGAGATTTTGTTGTTAGGTTGGTATGGTTGTAGACTGACTAAAGTCAAGCTTCAGGAAGGATCACAAATGAGCTGTTTTGATTGTGTTTTTGTTTTGTTAGATAGGGAAGGGCCAGGTGTTAAATGTTAACAACTTCAGCCATTGGTATGTAACAATGTCTTTAGTAAAGAAAGCAGGATTTGTGTTGGAGGGTTTTTAGAAGGTAGAGAGGTTTTATTTGTATTGTTTTATAACTTAAAATAATAGGTGGCCAGTACATCATCATAATAATAATAATAATAATAATAATAATAATAATAATAATAATAATAACATATCCTCCCCAATGTGTATTGTAAGCATATCTAAAGGTTTGGTCAAACCTTGTGCAGGGGAGTCAAGAGAACACAAATCATTCAGTAGACACACATGCATATTATATACTGTACATAGCACAAATGCATTCCGACTGTAGGTAAATGAAATGGAAATAAATAAAACTAAAAATCTTAACTACTTTTAGTTGCTGGAAGAAGGATAGTTCCAAATTGGTGCTATGGAGCTGCTAAGTAGAGAGACTTTTTATACAAATACCATTATGAAAAAATTCTCTTAACAAGGTAAAATGTATTTTTAAATAAATTTTTACATGCATGTCCTAGTTCTAAAGTTTGCTTAAAGTCTGATACCTCACATACTCTGTGTGGACATTGTTTTCTCTCTGCGATTGGTGGCTGGATTGAAGTAGCTTGGGTTGTATTTTTGGATGGATGTCACATTTATTGGTTTCTTTAAATTTCTTTTCTGTATGCTAGTTACTTAAGAAGCTGTCTGACACCAGCATCATTTTTCAACATCAGCAACACCAGTGTTTCCAAACAGGGAAATCCAGCAGAGCTAACATTAAAATTAGCCTGACATCCATAGAAAGGTTGGGTCATGTCGCACCAAAGTCCCCACGGTGGCACCCCAGCTTCCTGGGTGCTCACTGAGGCTGTCAGCTTCAATTTCACACGTCAAATACTGAATATGATGGAAAGGTATAATGATGATAGTCCTCTACTGTTATTTAAGGCTTTGTGTAGGTGAGTAGTAACGAAACATCAGGAGGTCAGGTGGCTATATCGAGTGAGAAGTGGCTGCCTGTTGTGCCTCAGTGTTTTCCTGTTAGATCTGCTTGTTAGCAGCTCTACAACAGCTGCGTCTTTGTCCAAGCTCAGGATAATGTGAGCTTCATATTCTGAGAGGTTTATGCTTTGTGTGTGTTGTTTTAGATGAACTGTGTCTGACCAGGTTCGTGTGCGTAATACACTGGCCAATACAACCAATACCTGAATGCTTTTTAATACTACACGTAGTTCACGTAGCAACATTCACCAGCCTGCAAAAGTGAGAGATGGTAAAAAGCTCTGGGGCAGCTTATAACGGATCTTAATTTAAGCCACGAGGAGTGTTGTGCACTCTGCCTAATTGAGTCTTGTGTTGTTTGTCCTGGTGGCAGGGCTACAGAGAAGATCCTGGCCCGAGCGCGGCAGCTTGTGGACGTTAAGAAGGAGGACGGCTTCTCCGCGCTGCATCTGGCCGCTCTCAATAACCACCGCGATGTCGCAGAAATCCTCATCAAGGAGGTGAGCTAAAGACATCAGTTGTCATATGTCTTTTCTTTGGAGTCGAGTATGCGCGTGCCTTTTTTTTTTATACATCTAAATAATAATAAATAAAACATTTTTAAATGTTTGTTTCCCTTCCTCCTCTTCCACAGGGACGCTGTGACATCAACATCCGCAACAACCGGAACCAGACGCCGCTGCAGCTGGCGGTGACACAGGGCCACACTGACCTGGTGCAGCTGCTGGTGGCCGAAGGCGCTGACGTCAACATGGAGGACGAGGACGGTGACACTGCAATGCATGTGGCCCTCCTCCGCCCGCAGCTGGCCAATGTTATGCTCAGCCCCGCCGTAGGAACCAGCAGCACCGAGGAGAGCAGCGAGGGTTGCTCCTCCACAACGCTCTACTGCAGGGTGAGAGCCCGCGGGGAGGGAGGTGGCATGTTGTCGGCTTATTACTTATTTTACAATTTCCTGGCCTATGGGAAATCAGACAATATGCCACAGCAAATCAAATTGATTTAATTTGTTCAAACAAGATTCTTAACTGATATTATTCTGTGGTTATTGACATTACTCACACTTGTTGAGTGATTCATGACAACAGAATTCTGGGTATTGTTGGGACTGAATGAGCTGAAGAGAGACAACTCAGCGTTCAAAAGATGTGAGCACAAGCAGATCTAACAGCTAAATGAAGTCTGGCAAGAGTGTAAATAAAGACTGAAGAGGTGGTTACTAAAGAGACAAGCCACAATAAATAAAGGACTAAAGGAAGACTACGTGAAACATTCAAAGAGGAGTAAATATAGGCTGAATGAGGGGTAAATAGACACTAAATGAAAAAAGGTGGGGAAAAGGATTAATGTAGTCTTAAGGAGGTAAAAATAGACGGGGTAAATAAAGACTTGAGGGATAAGAACAGACTTAATATTGAAGCAGGGAGGGAACGGTAAACAATAACAGAGGGAAGGAATGTAAAGGTGTTTGTTTATAGTCTGAGGGGTTAATCTGGTTGGCTTTTCCAGGCGAATGAAGGGATGAAAGATACAAGGACAGGGTTAACTGAGGAGAAAGAACTTTGTAGTATTGTGTAAACGGGCCAAAAGAGGAGAAAGTAATCAGATAGAGTGCACTAAAGTGGAACTATACGAAAGTTAAAACAGTTTGTCATGTTTCTGGAGGAAACCTAAATAAAAATAAAAAGGTATTGTACATCTTAATAACCACATGGATTTAAGCAATTAAGTCCCATCATTTAGGATTTACTTACTTAGAAATGAAGATGACCTCGTCCCTGACTCTAATCTCACATTCTCTCTTGCTTTAAGAGAAAGTGCTGGCAAGAGACTGAGAGCGATGGTGTAATGAGGGGGGAGAGGAAGTGCTGAACGGTTGAGAAGTGAAGAGGGCCCACTTAGTGCAGCAATATAGTTTTGGCAAAGACAGAGTTCTAGTTAAGATGTCTGTGATACATTTAGGAGTATGGTGTAAACACACCATGTCATCTTTCCCCAGAGGATGCCTTGAACTTGGATAGGACCACACTCCATTAATCCAGTGAATCTTAAAGAAGCTGTGTGGTATTATTAATGGTCAGAGGCACAGAAATGACTAACTGAATGCTCAGGCCTCCCTTCAGTATGTCTAACCTTAATGTGACATTTGGACATTTTGAAATTTTTCTGTATAGTCATGTTGTGGGGGAAAGATCCCATGTATCCCCACTGTAGTCAACGAAAACGACCTATGGCAATGTTAATATTCATTATGGCGAGCAAGGATAATGCTACTGCTAACAGAGAGACAGTTGTATGAAAGTGAAGGAAGCATGTGGTTATTCAGTTCAGTAACATGAAACTAGCATTGATTGTTTTTTCTCTGGCACTTGGAGCCAGCGCAACAAGCTGTAAACACAACACAGACTTATCACTTTATAAAGTTATGGTGAATGTGTGGGCAAATAGCACGCATAATATTTGGAGTTGTGTTTCAGGTGACATGGCAGTCCAATATTCCCCCTCGGTTTAGCTCCATTTTTGTTTCCACCAAATCCTGACAGATCTATTCATCTATTCGTACATCTCATGATGGTTAAGTTGTGGGTCACAGCTGGGTGGTAATTCTCTGTGGATTCATTACTACAAGCAAAATCATTACATAACTTTATGCATAGCAGTCAGCACCGAGTATTAATTAAAACATATTGATGAGACGGCTTTAAACCTGCCGAGGGGTTTGTTGGTAACTGAATCCACCAGAAGTCACTGCTTCTTTTTCTAATCTCGTTCACGCTTTTAAAAGAACCATTGACTCTCAAGAAATTAATATTGCTCATTAAGAGACCTTGACTCTGTGCTTTGTGCAGCACTTTTTATATGAGCACTTAGATTGCTGGTACATCAGTTGGTGTTGATATCATTGCGCTGATGAAGAACGTCCTTTCCAGTCTACATGACCGCAAACACTGCAGCTCCACTCAACATCCTGGGCACCTGCCAAGTCAACACACACACACACACACACACATAAACACACACATGAAGGTGGCTAGACTTAAGTGCTCAGGGCTGTTTTGGCCACTGTCAGCAGATGAGTTATTGGCCAAGTTCTTCAGTGCTTATTAGATTTTAGTTTATGTGTCAGCCTTAGTGGATTGCACTGGTTATTCTTCAATTACCTTTTCGTTGCTCACAATTAGCTACATCCTTTACTAAGTTTTCAAAGTTTGTAGAATTCCTCAAAATTGGGTTTGTTTTAATTCCAACTTCTTCTCCCTTCACCATGTGTATCCACAGCTGAATGCTTCAGGTCTTCTGGGGAATACCGAGCTGAGTGTTGGCGCAGCTATTGCTTGTTTTCTAGCGCAGGAGGGGGCTGACATCAACTACGCCAACCACAAGGGCAAGAGTCCCCTGGACCTGGTCGCAGACGGTACCATGCTGCAGCTCATCAAGAGCTTCTCTGAGAAACACAGGTACATGTCTGTAAAGGCAGTGCTATAATCCATGCCTTTCGATAACATCACAACATGGGTTTAAGGCCATGTTTAAAGCTGCCAATAGTTGAATACTACTATGAATTTAAAATGTGTTGAAAAGGGTGGTAAAAAATGAACTTCTGCGTTGTTACAGGTTGCAGCGTCTGCAGGCCATCACGTGTGGACAGGGCCTGAGCAGCCTGCGGCGGGTCCACACTACACCCAACACTATGACCAACCTGGTTCTTCCCACACCGCCGGGACCCAGCGAATGCCTCATCTGCTCCGAGCTGGCTCTTCTGGTTCTCTTCTGCCCCTGCCAGCACAGTGTGGCCTGTGAAGGTGGGTGGAGGCTAGAGTTAGTGGAAGGGAGACTGACTGCTCATGGTTATATTTGTTAAAATGATATCACAAGGCTGGCTTTTAATATTGTTGAATTCTACCAGAACAGAACTTTAGTGAGCTTTTGTCATGATGTCCTCCAGATATGGCCAATCTCTGAATGTACTGGCCTTTTTATGTTTCAAAAATCTCTTCTATTTTTATTTATACTGTTTGTGCATTTTTTGTCAAATAATGTTCTCTTCTGTATCTCCATACTGACCTTGTCCTTGTCTAAACAGAGTGCGCCCATCGGATGAAGAAATGCATCAAATGCCAAGTCACGATCACCAAGAAAATTAGACAAGGTAAGAAGAATCCTCTTGTTCTTGTTATGTGGGCTGCTTTAATAGGACGAGTATATATATATAATATTCATGTTTAGGACAAAAATATGCCTTTGTCCAGTGTGTATTAAATTCAAATGATGAGTGAGTCTTGAGGCGTCATAGATTGAAGTACTGTGTCGAGGACAGGCTTCCGGTGAGACATTGTGAGTCATGCTATATCCATCAGTTGCTACAGTATAGAGAAAGAGCAGAACAGACAGCAGACAGTTCATAAATGTGACTAATATCAGTATGTAACCTACAGTTATTGTCGGAAGCCTCTGAATTCAGTTCTTCAGTGCTTTAACATCCTTCATGTTGATGACCCCCTTCCCTCCACAGACCAAACTGAAGTGGACTGCAGCCCCGGCACAGAGAACTCGGAGCAGCACAACCTGCTGGAGCAGCTGCAGTCTCGCTACCGCCAGATGGAGGAGCGAATCACCTGCCCCATCTGCATCGACAACCACATCAAGCTGGTCTTCCAGTGCGGACACGCCTCCTGCATCGACTGCAGCGCCGCGCTCAAGACCTGCCCAATCTGTCGGCAGACCATCCGCGAGCGGATCCAGTTATTCGTCTGAGCTTCTCCTGTCCTCTCAGCATCTTAACGACCCAAAGAGGATGTTGGAGGGGGCTGGAGAGAAGTGGGGGTCGGAGGGGGCAGCTGTTACCTTTTTTTTAAGACCCAGTGACCTAATATCTGCCTGTCGCACCCTCCTGCTCACCCTGCCCCCCCCTCCCTGTGATCAAATACTCACTCAGCCCATAGGTTGCTTTACTAGAAGACGCTGTGTTACATCGCTGAGAGTCCACTGTTTGTTACATTTTGAGTAGTTTCCCTCTTGAGCGGGGAACATGTTCATATCTTAATTTTCAGCGTCAGAACTGATGTTCCGCCGAGCCCGACGGGAAGCAGACAAGGTGAAGTTGCGCGGTGGTGCTGCCACTTTGAATACTCTGATTGGTAATCTGGGAGAAAAAGGTCCCCACCTCTTCTTGTCCTCACTCCCACCCAGCCTGCACCTCCTGTGATCTGTCCTATCTTTGCTGCTTTCAGTGGATGTCTGTTACCCATCATCCTTTCTGGCTGTCTGGCCTCCTCTGTTTACAAGGCTGCGCAGAGTCAGTCCCCGTCTTCTCGCCCCTCAGCCTGTCCTGTGAATTATGTTTGCTCTCATTTGTACCAATCTCTTAATAATCAGTGTTAGTCTCTGCAGAGGGAGTTGGTATAACTAAAGGCTCTCTATATAGTCCCCAACCACTCGCCTGTATGCAAGGGGAAATACACACTATATATGCATGGATATATGCATATTGTAAAGCTGAAAATGACTGTGTTGTCATGGGTGATTTGTTGTCGTTGTTGTTTTATTTCTCTCTGGTTACATTTGTGGTTTTTAATGTACCGATAAGTACAGATTTTTATTTATGTGTGAAAGGTGGTATTACTTAGTAATGTCCTTTTTTCATTTGGTGTTTGCTTGGCAAAAATGTTTTTATTTCTACTGAAATTCACCCCAAGCCTATGTCCTCTACTCAGGGTATCAAATCATTAAAGCACTTGTGATATCCATAACAGGTTAAAGAACCCCCCCTACACACACCCACCCACCCATCATTAAAGAGCTACAGTGTATTGGATCGTTTTAGTGGAGGGTCACTGAAAGAAAAGGTCATTAATAACCAGTCAGAAAGTTGCGCATAGTGACTCAAAATTGCAGAAAGAAACACTCTATTCACTTTATTAACCTTCAAAATGTCATTCTCATTAGTGAAATGAATGTTTGCAGAAGAGTTTTTGCAACAAAACTAACATTTTCCTCCACAAATCGCAACAACAACAAAAAAAAAGTCCTAAAAACATCCCAGAAGCTTTATCTCTGTGTGGCCAGAAAGCATTGTGTCGGTCTGCCTGTTTGTGTCTAAAGACCACAATCTGTCTGTCATATGACCGCTGTAGAGACCCCAACGAGCGCCGGGTTCACAGTTTAAAGGAGGGCACTCGTGTTTGTTAGTTATCCACCAGATGTATTGTAAGATATAGAATCAGAAGGGCAAAAACATGACATTGTTGCGTTGCACCTCTCGTTCCACGTCGTTCCCAGTCGAGTCACGTCAGAAGAAAAACTCCCCTTTCTCCTCTGGAGTTCTGGATTGTACATTGTCTTCATCCTTTCTAATGTGTTGGTGTGTTTTCTTGAAGGGCTTATGCATATGAGAAAAAAAAATCGTATCTATTTTAATCTTTATTTAATTGTTATTTTCTATAACAGACTTCCTTAGACAGGAGGGGTATTTTGTCTTCATTAGATCCCAAATTTTGGGAGAGCCAATGTTAAGATGTACATTTGAATGTCGGGGGGGGTGAAAAAATGTATCCGGTCTCACTCTGCCTTTTTTATGTGTAAAGAAAAAAAAGATGTAAGCGAAAGCTGGCGAGACTGAGACGTGTTTACCACGAGGTTTACTTTGAGGAAAGAACTTTTACATCAGTGCCAAATCGCATGAGGATGTGCATGGGCATGCACGCCCGAATTTATCTAGGCGCACTACGCTAAACCCCTCCGAGCTCAAGTGAGGGTTCAATTATTCCAGCAGTGTAAAGTAAACTAAAAGCAAACTTTAATATTTTATTTAGTTCAAAATCAGAAGTATTATCTCAGCACACTCAGTTACTGGTGTTAGAAGTTGAGCTAATGGTGTTAGCCTCCTAACTTTAGCTGTAGTGCTCTGAACCTCCTCATGTTCTCAGTGGTGCAACACTCACTTTGAAAATATTATCAGTCCCATATTGTTTGGCGCTTTTTACAAGTATATATATTTATATTTTGTGAGACATTATCAATCAAGGGACATGTTTCTTACAGAAATTTTGAGATTTTAAGGATTGTCCATTGGTGTTCTGATGAGTTGATGGGTTTACAGGCAAAGGCAATAATGTTTTAGAAAAATGGGGAAGATGTGTTAGTTCTTTCTTTTTCTCCCCCTTAAGGAGGTGGCTGTGAGGGCGGGAAACAATTTATGTATAAAAACACAATTAAAGCAGCAAATGTTACTATTGGTGTTTGTACAGTTCAGCTCTTGGAGTTCTGATGTTGGCCTTACTGTCCATTCCTCCTCTGTTGATGTTTTTTCAGTTGTATTCTGTACAAAAATATTTTGCAATAAATATGGAACTGTTTTCTAAGGACTTGGTGTAGAGATTTTTGTTGTTGTATTCATTTTTGTTCTCCAGTGAAACTGCCTGCTAAGTGTAGCCCCACTGTGTGATACTGTGCTAACCCGTCATATAATACAGTGCTTTACTTTATATCATTGTCCACAACCCTATAACATTTTTATGACATTCAGCAGGAATCAGTGTTTCATTGAAACCCACAAAATAAAATATGTGTTAATGTTGAAATATAGGACTCTCAATGTATGTGTCAATTATGTTTTTATTTGAGCACTTAAGCACTTAAACAGCCAGTTATAGTATCTTATGTATGTCCCTGTGAGTATCTTTGAACTGAAAAATGTTTTTGACTTTTATTTTATTGGACAGAACAGTAGCATTGGAAAGTTTTAGTCACCATTATTAACATTCACATTATTAATAGTGTTTCTCAGAACTGAGTTGTTATCTCCAGTGTCAACCCACCTACATGAAGATGATCAACAGGGAGGGGAGGCTGTTGTTTTATTTTTTTCTTCCACCAAGTGTCCTTAGAGGAGCGCCCAGTCCTGTTGTGTCCTGTAAAGTAAACAAAGTAGCAGCACATAGCTATAAAGTGCAGTGAAGAATCCTGTAATAACTGTACATTTGCCTCATTGATTCATACATACACACACAACACTGCACCTTTAAGTTTTTATAAAATCCATCTGTTTTAGTCAAACTTTCCCTGACTCCAGTTTGGGAGAAAAGACTAAATATACCCTTGCTTAACTGACTGGAGCAACAAAATGAACATTTAAAGATTCAAGAAATGTTAAAAATATTTTTTAACATTTCTTAAATCTTAAATGTTCCTCTTTCACATCCCCACTTGAGGTTGTCCTCTGTTGAGATAAACAGTTGGCGAGCAGGTTGTGTTGCTGTAACCCATTTAGGCTGGTTGGTGTCGGTGCAGCGTCTCCAGTTAAATGCTGCTGTGTGCCACTTCTTACTCCTAATTGTCTTATGGCTCAGATGGCTTTGGCATATGACTCAGCGCTTTAGCAGTGACGTCCTCTCTGAGGACAGGATGACAGCTTTGAACACTGGGAATACCCACAACAGAGTTCTTGTTTTTTCTTACATATTTACAAAGCTAAAAAGAAATGAATGTAAAAAACTTTTTTAAATATGAGTGTCCTGTCATGGTCACATGGAAATCTTAGTATAAGGAGAAGTGTTGGAGAAATTGGATTAGATTGTCCCGTACATGCAGATGTATTACACTTAAGGTGTGACACTTTAAGGCAGATAAAGTGGATGATTCTCCAGAAGAAGATCTATACTCTACAATAAGGAAATGCCTTTGAAAAACTATTGCAGTTATAAGCATGAGTCAACATGTTTCCTTGAAAGATGACATTTCAGAACTGAAATTACAATCGACTTATCTCAGATCAGTATGGAATAAAATTGTTCTGTAGTATATGTACAATATGAATGTAACTTTATACCTTTGACAAATATACTCACAATTTACACCCTAATACTCATCCAATATGTATATAAGGAGAGTCTCCTGTTTCTGTATTTATAGTCAAATAAGTATCATTACAGTTTAAATATTCATATATAATATGTAATCCTGATTTCCAGATGTTGATATCAGTTCTTTCTGCGTTGTATATATTTTTACTGTTTTTCTTTATCTCCATGTGATGAAATGAGACTACTGACTTTAGATAAGTGCTCATCTATTTCTGTTGTAACGGACAGCAAGAGGACATCATAACACACAATAATAATAATGCAATCTCACACCACAAATAGTTGACCCGGCTAACCTCTGACACAGACAAAAGAAAAACACAACTCCTCTCTAAGCTTTGCAGAAGTAGTGTTTGAAGGTAAGGATGGCCCTTGTATTGTGTCCACCTCATGTGTGTCAGAGTAGCAGAGCTGTGTGGACAGGATGTGATGAGAGCACCCTCTAGTGGTACATGTAAAATCAAAGTAATAAACATTGTTTCCTGTTGTGTAATCTCACTGATTACAATCTAACTGACCAATAGTTAAAACCAGCAAACCACATTCTGCCAGAAAATACACATATTAAAGGAGTTCAACACCTTTAATGAGTAAAAAGACGTTTTCCCTGAAGCTTCTCCAATTTAAAGTCATTTGTCGAACACTTTTCACCACCACACTCACACATTATGATTTATATGTTATGATTTATGCCATTTTATAGTGAGCAGAATGTGGAGCTGTGAGTCATTTCCAACAGGTAAAGAGAAGAGAGGCCTCACTCCTACGTATCCTACAGGGGGCGCACTTGCTCACAGAACAGATCCCTGACCCTCATGTGTCCTGAGGCTGCCTCTTCTAACAACCCACATTTTTCCTCAGTATATTCACTTGTACCCTGGTATCAGCATTTACCGCTCTCCTACACACTGTGCATTCACATCAACACTGCGTCCAATAGTTTTTCCCTGGCATTATCCTCCTGTGTCCTTCTCGGCATGAATTCACATTTTTTCACTCTGATGGAGCTGACATCGCACTCACTTGATTGCAGGGAGTGGACGAAGAAGAAGGGTCTGAAACTGGGAAGATAACTTCAGTGTTGAAGACAAAATATTTGTCTTTGGCTAATGTGAATAAGGTTACACAGGTCAGTAGTTCAGATAGGCTTTTGTTCATTACTCTCCTTCAGTTTATAAGCAGAACACACTCTAAATGTATTTAAAGGTCTAGACTGTAATGATTTATTGGCAGCATTTTAATATTATATTAAAAGGTATGTTTTTATTAGCGTGTAATCATCTACAAATAAAAATAGAATAGAATGGAGTACAATATTAGAATCCGTCTTTATCTGCAGAGGAAGCAGGTCCTCTTTCCACAGAGGCCACCATGTTGAACCACCATGTTTCTACAGTGGCCCAGAATGGACAACCCAAACACTGCCTGTAGGGCCATTCACGTGTTATGCGATTTTCATGACCATCGTAGTTTGTCCTATATGCTGGAAGGCGAATGGTATTCAGTTGGTTGCTATCTGCGCAACTTAACTGCCACCAAATCCTACACACTGGCCCTTTAGAAAAACAGGTTTCAGCCAGATTAGCTTTCTTGCTGAGAGTTAGGTGAGAAGACTAATGCCACTCTCATGCCTGTACACTAAATATGAAGCAGCTGGTTAGCTTAGCTTAGCACAAGGTGTGGAAACCAATGACGACTTCAGGTCAAGTCACTGTGCTGTTACCCCCCTGCTTACAGTCTTCCAGTTGTAGATTATTATATAGACGAGTGAAACTGAATAAGGGCTTATTCAGACAGATTTGAGCTCTTCTCAGCCTGTGATGTACTACTGTTAAAAAGAGGCTCTGATTATAATGTTTTCACCTGGGTCATTATTTAGCATTTATGTAAAACACTTCCTGCAGAGCCAACAGGGCATTACTGTATGGTACAGCATTACAGTTTATGTTCTGATAACTTCACAGATTCCGTTGGTTCCTGACTCAACAAGGAAGAGATGACTTCTCTAGGATGTTGAATATTGAACGATATTACAGATGAGCAGTTGTATTTAAAGCTTTTCTGGGTGGATTACTGGTGTTCTGTCACTAGTTCCTGTTTTCTCTCTGAGAAAAAAACTCCAACATTCATGTGTAACACAATAAGGGGAAATTATTTAGTTGAGGTTTTACATGTTTCATCCAGATGCTGAAAACTGTAGGACTTATTTTTAACCATCAACGCAAAAAACCTGTTTGCAAATGGTGCATCTGTCTCAGAGGCAGTTTCTGTTGAAAAACGTAAGTGTAATTCCTCTTTCTCCATGTCCTTCATGTCTCTTTTTTTGGGAAACACTGACTCACTTTGTCTCATTATCATTAGCAGCTCTCTGTATGGACTCTGTGCCTGAAGATTTTAACCATTCAAGTGTTCACTTTTAAAGGAACCAAACATTGACCCACAACTTCACAGTAACTACCGACTTCTTGTTTCACAACTTTTGTCCAAATGACCTAAATAAACAAACGAGACCATGACAGAGCAGGTTGGCTATTTCTACAGTTATTTTTAATGCAAGCCCCCTTCCCCTTGAAAACAATTGAACATGGTGTTAGAAACACTACTGCTTTTGTCCACAAGGGGCGCCAGAATCAACAAACAATGGGTGTTGCTTGTCGCTGCTTTAACAAGGCCATTTTCAGTGCTGTTTTGTTTGCGTTAAACTAGCCACGTGTTTACACAGCGTTATTTTTCCTCACCCCTATTTCAGGCTCTGGATAAAAGGCAATGCTTTCATTAAAATGTTCACATGGTGTGCAGTAATTGCAGTAGAATTAGGTTCAGGTTGGATGCCACAAAATAGGGAAGGAAATTATTATTTATTTTTCTGCACTGCAGTTTGTGGTGAAACTATTTTAAGAAACTGATGAAGAATTTGTTTCCTTTCGCACTTTCCTGCACATTATGATGAGCAGAGCACAGCAGAGGTTTCATAAATGATTCACAGAGACTCTTCAGTAGGGATGTGCTGATTCCTGTTTCCAGAAAATACAAACAAACAAACCAACAAAAACCAGGAGCGGTTTTAATAGTAATAATTTATAAGATTAAGGCAAAACTAATTTATAATTAATTAGTATTGTCTTAATCTGGTTAATCCCTGTAAATGTGCTGAATGCAACAGCCACAAAGCAGTATTCAGATCCATGATCCCGTGAGAATCAGCTGTTTGTTACAAGGTGTGGCTCCCACACAGTGAATCCACATTTACTCCTCTAGTTTTATCACTATTGTGTGAAACAAACAAGCAAAATTGATTGAAACATTTAAAAATGTCAAAAATTAGGGCCAGTGTTTCCCCATAGCTCACAGTTTATTAGTTGATTATCCATCACCCTGACAAAATAATATGTTTGCTCCTCTTTGTCCTCTGATCTTTTATATTGTTCTCAGGTTTAAATGTTTTGGTGGCAAACACCATAAGATGCCGGGAATTTTCCGCACTTAAAGTTTCGTGAATCGAC